CTTGTCTTCTTGGGCTACATATACAAATTGCTAAATCACTCCTTGCCTGTCTCTCATTTCCATCCCTCATTCTGCTTCGGCTGTGTGACACTTCAGCATGTCATTTGCTATCAGCACCAGGAAGGATTTGAACTTTGCAAACCAGCAATTATTTGATTTTTTTTTTCTTATTGGCAGAGATAGGCTAAGTGTTATAGCCTGCAAGTGGGGCACTGCTTCTCTGTACATATACACTATGATAACATCCCTCCTTTGAAATAGTGTCATAGTCTGCAAGTGGGGCACTGCCTCTCTGTACATACACACTATGATAACATCCCTCCTTTGAAAATAGCTCCTACAGGAGCAGGGTTCACACTTGAGACCAGATTTGTGGGTGAGTGTGAGGCTGCCACTGCACGTAGCTTTGGTGAGGATAAGTACACACAGCCATTTTCTCTTGCACACCTCACTCTGGGACCATCCCTGGCTCTCCTCTCTGACAGCCTCTCTCCAAACTCACCTTCTCCTGGACATGCTCAGACTGCCCCTGTGGCCATGCCATCCCCACTGCTCAGGTGACACATGCTGCTGCCTCACCAGCAGGTGTGGGTACAGGTGAGCAAAGACTCGTGGCAGTCACAGCAGTTTGCCTCCTTCCTGGTGAGTCACCGTGCCCCAGTATCTGCCAGCATGGCTGTATCTGGTGACCAGCCTGAAGCAGCACGAGTGCATTGATGGGACTGTAATGAGCCACTCCCAAGGTCCAGCTGGATTTTTTTGGGGCGTTGTCCAGTTTGGTCAGCACACACCATTTATAAAGGGCTTGTTTTCCCTTTGTCAGAATTATTAGCTTTGGATGGTGACAGTTTTAGAAATGGACATTGCTGGGCCTTTCCTGTAAGGAAAGAAAAGGGTGCTCAGGCTCCAAAGAGGGTTTTGATGCTTTTTCACTGGGAATTTGCAAAGCCCCTGTGCACCGAATGCAAAGCAAAGTGTAGGAAGCAAAGTTTTCATTCATGGTGTCTGAGTCTGCCTTGGAAGCAGCTAGTGCAGCCCCAAGGGAAGCTGTTTCCAGCCATGCAAAGCCCCCCAGTTTTGGCCATGCACAGCACCATGCAGCTCCCTACTTCCCAGCCCTTTGCACCAACCAGTTTGGCCTTCCCAGCTGCAGCAGGGTCACACCTCCAGTGACTCTTCCCCAGCTGCTTCTTTGCTTTTGCCATCTAGCCAGAAGAGCAACACACTGTTTTCCCCAAGGTCCCAACAAAGGGACTAGTGCTTGGCAGAGGCCTCCTTTCCCATCCCTACCAGCTCCACACACAGGGAGGACTGGCAAACTGCTCTGTACCTCTACTGAAGCTTCTCTCAAACATCCATTTTGGGTGACAGGGAAGCTAATTTAACCAGCCAGAAATCCCTTGTTTCTCCTTCTTCTAGTTGTTCCTCCCAGTCTCTCCTATCCACTGACATTTTTGAAGGACTAGAAAAACAAGGACATGAATTTCGGAGTTTAGAAATCTACAGAGACCCAGCAGTGAGAAAACCCTCTCTTTGCAGGAGGCATGGGAGACAGGAGCAGGGCTGGGGGTGCAAAGTAGCCACAGCTACAAGAAAATAGGAACAAAGGGACTTCTTTCATCTCTCTCCTCTGGATGTTGTTTCAAAGGCATGACCTAAACTTGAGTGAGGAGCTCAGCATATATTTAAGTGATCTCCATCAAGCCTGACTGAGCAAGGCTGCTCACACCACGAAGTCTTGTGGAGGAGCATGACAGTGGGCTCAGTCCCAGGGTCACAGACTGATCTAAGAAACCTGCTAAGCCCAGGAGCAGAAAAGGCACATCTGGCTTCCTAATTTCATCAGTGTTGTGATTCCCAGCTGGCAACCAAACCCCCAGAGCTCCAACCAAACCTGCTCACTCCCCACTGGTGAGATGGGGGAGAGAATTGGAAGGGTAGAAGTGAGAAAACTTATGAGATAAACACAGTTTAATAGGTAAAGCAAATGTTGTGTACACCAGTAAAGCAAAACAAGGAATTAACTCCCCATTTCCAATGGGCAGGTAGGTGTTCAGCCATCTCCATCACGTGTAACGGTGACTTGGGAAGACACATGCCATCACTCTCAATGTCCCCCCTTCCTTCTTCTTCCCCCAGCTTTATACACTGATTATGACATCATATGGTCTGGAATATTCTTTGGGTCAGGTGGGGTCAGCTGTCCTGGCTGTGTCCCCTCAGCCTCCTCACTGGCAGGACAGTAGGAGAAGCAGCAAAGGCCTTGAAGCTGTATAAGCACTGCTCAGCAATAACAAAAACATTCCTTGTTATCAACACCGTTTTCAGCATAAATCCAAAACACAGCCCCATACTAAGTACCATGCAGAAAATTATCTCTACCCCAGCACAATCCATTATTGTGAGCAGTGGATTTCCCCACACATTTCTATTTCCTTTTGCAGTTACCATGAGTCTCGGTATTCCCTCAAGCGAAAATGAAACTACACACCAGAAATCAACACCAACAGAGGCACAAACCTTCTGCAAAATCCCAGGGCTCAGCGCTGACCAGCCAACCCCCAGGGCTTGTGCTGGCAGGGTTTTCCCACCATTCATTTTCACTCCCTCACCTTTAGTTTCGGTTGCTCCAAGTACACAGCTGCTCAGGCAACCAGATAAGAGAATCAAACTTTCCCCTCGCAGGATATTTCTAACCCAGTTCATTTCCCTGACCTCAGTCCCCAGACGTTGGCACAAAAAGGTGAGACTACACAGTGCAGGGATCAGCCACTGTGGGTTCTGCTTGAGGGATGTGAGATGTTTGGGATATGTATTGGGGTATTGCTCCAGAGAAAAATCCCTGCTTAACTGCAGCCTGAGGCTCACCTGAAAAATAGTCCTCAGCTATCAGAAAGCTCTCAGGGTTGGAAGCAATGCTTGGTGTTTGGTGTACCAGAACAGCAGCTCGCTGATTGTGTACAGCCATCTAAAGTGGTATTTATCATGAAGCCCTCATACATCTATAGACCTGTGGATTTGTCTGTAAAGAGCTACTGGTTCACTCAGCCAAACCTTATCACCTATGTCTAGCACTACATAAACTGCAATTATTTTTGATAACCTGGTCACTTATTACTTCCTTGGTGAGAAGATACATAACAGCCATATACTAAATCCAAATATTAAACAATGAGCCTAGTGTGTCTCCATATGCAGATTTCCATGCTAAATCATTAACTGGGTGTGGGAAAGAATAGCATTATAGAAAAAAAAAAAAAAAGAAGAAAAATCAGTGTAACATTTTTAAAGCAAAGGTAAAAGCCCCCTAGCAGCCTGTAATTTTTACATGGATCTCATTGTTGAAGATTATAAGCACTTGATAAGCATTTGCATAACACCTAGCCATTATCTGATGGGGAAAAATTCCTTAATTTTATAGAGGGGAAACTGGGGAAGAGATTATAAACCCACCTCCAGTTACCTGAAATGCTGCTTCCTACTAACTCTATCAAACTCCTTAAAGATCAAAAGCCATCAGCAAAAGATCAGAAAATGGGAACTGGGTCTCTCAAGGCAAAGGTGAGCATCCAAACCATTAGATCACCTTTTCTTTAAATCAGCTATGCTGAAAGTCTGATCCCTGAATATCCTGATCACTACAGTCAGTATAAATACAAAGAAGTTTCCCCTACACAGTGCTCCTCAAAGCAGCTAGTCGTCTAGACACATTGCACAAAGCACTGGAGCAAGTGGGTTATTCCCAGCAGGAGTTTTTGCAGCAATTAACATCAGGACTGAAGCAGTGCATGTTGCACACAACCACTGAGCATCATCCAGGCAGTTCATAAGGAACGTTGGGGTGTGAGAATGAGATTTTGTCAGAAACACTTATCACCTGTTACTAGAGTCCAAAATCCATCAACCGTCACCTTCACTCAACTTCCCAATAAATGGAATGATGCCTGTAGTGTAGCTGGGCCATGGTAGGGAGAGTTGGCCCAAATACAGTCACAGCCCCACACTGTTTTCAAAGATGAAGGAACAGAGTGACCACATCTCAAGGCACTGAGCTGGATTTATTCATTTGACTATATCAGTATCAAACTAGAAACCATCTGTTTAAGATCATCTATTAGACAGGTGCAGCATTAAATAACAGACATATGAAAAAGAGACCGTGCTTCAGAAAAGATTCAGTGTACAACATACACAGTATGCCATTTAACACAAATGCTTATAAAGAGTCAACCTAAGCATCAGAGAGTTTTATAAAAGTTTACGTTCTCATCCCATGGGATGTACAGAACTATGCAGTTTACATAGTTTTACTATCATCCAAAACATCATGTTTCAAATGTACGAGGCGCAGCAAGAACAATATAATTCCATTTCCATAGGAACATAAACATTGCTTGTCACTAATGACACACTTTCCAAACCACAGCACTCTCAGCAATTATACATGTGTACAATTTTAAAGTATTAAAAAGCAAGAGTCTGGAGCCTGCCCACTGTTACCAATAGAGAATAATATTTGATCTACCCTTGAAAACTATCACAGATATCCTTGTAGTAGCTGTACCATAGGAAGCATGTGGAGTCACTGTCCTGCTTTGTCAGGGCCAGCTTGCTGTGCTATTCCCAAAGCTAACTGATACAGCCAGGGAAGGATTCCCTCCACCCACAGAGAAGGGGACAGCATCCTGCTTAGCTCCCACAGGCCAGAGAAGATGCAAAGTTAAAACACATCAGTAACCAAGTGATGCTTTGACTCCAGAGACAGCTGATAGAAATTAGCTCAGCTTAAAGGAGGCCCTGATTTTCATTAAGAATGACCAGAGACTGGTCAAGTCTTATAGACAGAACCAGACTGAACCCATCTTTGGTTAAATCAAAACCTTTTTTTTTTCAGGGGTGGGAAGAGGGAGGGGAAGGAGGTTTTCTCTAGGGACAGCTCAGAGAGACTGACTCTTACAGTCCACATTCTCAATTGTTATTATAATATTTTTTCATGACATTATTTGCAAGCATATATTATAAGTTTTATAAAAGTGCAAGGCCCAGCACAGGAAGATATCCTGGATTAAGACATTCCCAGCAGTGTTCTTTTTTGCCATCTTGTTGGTCATCCAGCAGATGCACAAATATTGTTGCTTGGGATCAGCTTATCAGAGTCCCTAAGGGTTTAGCTTAATCATCTGTGCAATTAAACACTATTCACATTTGACAGCCTACAATGGCAATAGTTTTATGTACAAATCTGAAAATCAAGTCTTAAAATCAAGTTTTAAGAGGTAGAGGTTCACTTCTGACCTGTCAACATAAAATGTTACTGAGTCAATCATATTCTAAGGCTGGTGGTCCCCTAACAATATTGAAGTAACCAGCAAGAGCTCCAAGGTCTATGTAGAGTGATCTTTGCCTCTTTAGCAGGTCTGACTCTTCCATGCTTCCATTGCACAATGAGGAATCTAAAAAGGAAAGAGGCAAAGCATGTCATTATTGCACAAACAGCTATATCAGTTCATTTTCATGATTGTATATATTAGTGGAATAATTGGCCTAATATTTGATTTTATTTATCTGTGGTTTAGAAAAATTCATTTTTTAGGAAAACAAAAAAAATCTCATCTAAAATAAGGTACAGTAAATCAACCCACAGCTCCAAAGCAAAGAGAGGTAAGCAATTTACTAAAAACAGCAAGTGTATTCAACTATTTGAAAAATTAAAAAAAAAATCCTCCATCAGCTGGGACAGCTAGGCAGTTTCCTCATCCTCTGAGCTATAGTGCTAAAGGAGAGTTTGGTGCAAGAAAAAAACCGGCTAACTTTCTGCCAGCTGAGAATTCCCCTTCATCATGGGGCAATTTTTATCTTAACAGATGACATCATCTTTCTTTGGGTGTGACAATACAGAACAAATATAGGTCCATCAGACTCAGACTTCTTATTTCTTTTACATCAAAGTCTGAAGAAATTAGACCTGGTTTGCAATGGCAGAACTCCCCTGAACACTTGTATAATGAGAGTCTAGCTCTAGTTTAGTAGTCAAATTTTTTTTCATCTTCAAAAGAATTGATTCAGATGGCCTGAGCTGGTCAAAGGGTTATGCACACCCAAGGCAAAATCCAGAAAGAACAATGCCATCCTAGATAAGATTCTGTGATTCATTTAAGTGTTAAGTGAATTTGTTGCAACAATTATGCATTACAGCACCCAAAACTTTTCATAGGTATCTTTTCAAAGACTTATCTCACTCATATAAACCACCTGTCTAGGGTAAATCTTTAAATGCCTTTTGTCAGAACCCTCTCAACGTTATTTCATAAGTAGAAGAAAAGCAATTTGAAGCCTGTTAGCATGTTAGTAGCACTAAATCTCACTTGGGCTTGATACTATCCAAGGGCACACTGAGTTTTCTACCTGGTTAGTGTGGAAGGATAATTCCTTCATAAAGCACTTACCAACGCACAAGGGTGACAATGTTCTATCCTAAAGTCATTTTTGTTTTTAAAACAAAGGGCTTGTACTGCTGACACTCAACAACATTAGTTACGGTTTTGTGAGTTTCTTTTTCCTTAAGGAGGCAAAAAGTGTTGGATTTGGTGGTGGTAATTGTTGGACTTTGTTGTTACCAAATCAATAGTATCTATAAAACATCTCTAGTGCTGTGGCAAATTATGGCAATTTGGGACAGCAATCTATACTTCCTGAAGTGTCCTGAATGACCACCAGGGCTTTTTCAAGAGCCAGTCCTTCCAGAGCTGCAGAATTCAGGCTAAGTTCCTTCCCACTGAAGTCAATGGGTGTTTTATTTATGACTTAATGACCTCTGGGTCTGATCTCATCTGACTGGGATTTTCACTGGTCTCTTTCCAGAAGCTTTTTCAGTTTCGTTGGCTTTTGAACATTCAAATCAAGATAGGACACAAAGTAAGAGCTACAAAGTGCGAGGTAAGTAAGCCTGATCTCATTACCTGTAATGTTTTCTGGCAGCTGCAGATCCTTCCTTGCAAGTAGTCTTTTCCTTTCAAACAATGCAGAGTCCAGACTCTGACACCTCGGCTGCTCTTCTGGGGGTGGGTGTAAGGCTTCATGTTTCAGTAAGTCTGCTGCAGACAGCCTGTGATTAGGATTCCTTTCCAGAGCTGCTTCTAGCAACTCTCTCATGGAAGTGCTGCAGTCTTCAGCAATGTCCTCTAAGGGGGGAGCTTGCTTGTGTATCTGTTGGAATAAAAAAAAAAATCATTGAAACACTTATTCCAAAAACAATAGCAGAGGAACTTACAGATAACCACATGAGTTGTCTGGGAATTCCCCAATTACAACTCATCACTTCCTTAAGCTGGGCTGGTCAACTAGAACAGAACATGCAACTGCACAAAATCCACCTCTTTAAAATCTGATTTTATAAGAAATCTAAAAACTCACAGAAATTTCAAGAAAGCCTAAAAACCAGCACCATGTAAATTCACCAGATTTCTGTACCACGTTGGAAAAAAAAGAGAATCAAGCTACAGTTTTTATCTATCTGGAACGTCTACACAAAACAGACAAGTAGAAGACTGATGGGATTGTTTCAATCATGTCTCACACTGTTCTAACCCTGTCCTTGCAGTAAATCCAAGGCCTGTAAATTATAACACAAATCACAGAGATTTCTCCAGCTCAGCCTCTGTCTTCCCCTAAATGATCAAAAACCACTTCTTCCTTCCCTCCCCGGAAGCAAAAAGGATGATATCATCTCTCTGACAAGTATTTTGCTAGTTTTTATATGACTGGAGCTTTCCCATTAAGTACAGGAAAACCTTCAACTGAAACTGAGCTACAGCTTTGCTAAGGACACTTACAATATAGAGGTAGGATGGATATGCAGAACGAGGATATCTGTTCACCCAGGGTGGGATGCCAGTTTGCATATGAATGATAGTAGCTCCCATGCTGTAGATGTCTGCTTTTGTTGTGTGGCCTCTGCAGAGGATAACCTCAGGGCTCATGTAAATCTGTGAAGAATAGTGAAAAAAAAAAAAAAAAGATTAGTCAATAGGGGAAAACAACAAAAAAAATTAAAAGATTAGTCAATAGGGGAAAACAACAAGCAGAGATGAATTCGACATTTTGTGATCAGGGGAAAATCCCCTATAAACGGATGCATCCCACTAGTACCTGCAGGCCAAAGACCAAGCACCATCTGGGGAATAAGAGTTTTCTGCTCTGCACATTACTGCAGACATAGAGATGGCACCTGTACACATTCCAGGTTTGCCCTGCCCAGACAGGCCACAGTTCAGCAGCTGTGAGACTTAGCTGAGCTGTGAGAGACTGAGGTTCAAGCCATGGCTCTGCCTTGTTCAGCTGGGCAGCAGAAACCTCACCCCTCCACAGCAAGAGGAGGTGCCTGAACTGCCAGTTTGTTTTGTGGGGCACTGCTGGAACTGCTCCATTCATCTTGAACATCATGGGTGTGCACCAGGCTAAAGAGAGAGGGTGACCTGCACTGATAGCCACCCAGATGAGGGTAGGAGTCTACTCAAGTTCCTGTTACACTGCATACTACACAACTCTTCTGAGCAGAACTGACAGATCTTCCAGTCTTCCTTATTCTTCTTATCTAATAACCTGCATGTTGGGGCATTATCCTAAGAAATGGGATGATGAGGAACAAGCCAGGTCGAGGCAATGCATGAATTAAGACAGGTCTCTTAAGCCCTGCTGCATGCCCTTTCCACCAGATTACCCCCAGAGCCTCTTCGATCCTTTTTCCAGATCAAAACTTCTAATCTCTTCTAAATCAAAATACAGTTTCCTTCCAAACATTTCACTAAAACATATGAATTTGTCAAGACTCTGAAGAAGGATGTGGTGGGAAGCTCCTGGCAGCTCGGAGTGCAGCTGGAGGAGAACCAGACAGGCAGGATGCAGAAGGCACACCCCACACCTCTGCCACTGCCACTGGCCCAGGGAACAGGTTTCAACACAACACACAACTGGCCACAACACACCAGGCTAGCAAGCCACCCTATTTGCTTCTGGTTTCTACTTTTCCCTCACCCAATTTCCCTCTAAAGGAGTCAAACCAACTTTAATTAGTTCAAGTCACCCTGCCACAAAGAATCACATTAAAAGCCATTAACTGACACAAGGGCAGGAAGTTAAGTCATCACCACATGGTTTGACTACTTATTACCACAGATTGAGAACGGCTGTAGGGCTCACGCAAATTCCAAGGAATATTTGCCAGTAAATCACGTACCATATCTGCAAACAGAACATGCAACTGGAACTGTGTGCAAAGGTTCAGCTGCTTGTCTACCCAGTAAATCACATACCATATCTGCAAACAGAACGTGCAACTGGAAGTGTGTGCAAAGGTTCAGCTGCTTGTCTACAGCTGCTACTGACTCCTAGCCATTGTTTTCCTCAGGGCTAAGATAGAATCAGTGTATCTGCACCCTCCACCTTTAAGTCTGGTAAGAAGCAATGAAAAGAATTTCTAATTTCGTTTAAAAAAAAAAAGTCTTTGGCAAATACAGTGCAACTTGAGTGAAATCTAGATAAACAAAAAGCAGCTGCCTTCATGAGGCAAAAAGGATGCTGGCACAAGATCTTGTCTGCAGCTAAAGTGTGAAAATGTCAAGATGCACCTTGATGGCACAGGGACAAAAAGCAAAAATGAGATGTACATCAAAGCTCTGATTTCAGACTGGTCTAAGACTCTCTTGTCACCAAAGCAGACAGGTCAAGCCATGGATACCTTCCCGTTCTCATTCTTTCCAACTGCTGGACTGGCACTTGCCTGCCAGTCAGACCAGAGACACAGCCCAGCTGAAAAACAGCCCTTACTTCATGCTGTGCTAGGTTTAGTTTAGCATTCCCAAAAATGAATCACACATTCCACACTCAAACTTTAGCAGACGATTTTTTCCTCCTCTCAAATAGTTGTATCTGAAGCTGACACTATTTTAACAAAGTGACAGAAGCATAACAGAAAGTGTAGCAAATGCACAGAAAAAGTATTTCCTGCAGAAGTTTCATCACAACCACAGTTCATTGTGTGGCATGACAAGGCAGAAATCCTAGGTTTTTTATGCTACACCAATTAAACAAAATTTTAATTCTCTTTCAGTCATATTGCCCAGAATAGTAACTACTCTTTTGCATAAACACAAAGACAATACACTCCATTCAGACTTTCTATGCTATAGAAGAGAACAAAAATCCTGAACTCCCAGAGGACAACACACACAGGAGAAAGATAACTCCACCTGCTGCTTCCCTCAAGGACACAAGTCCCTGTCCATAGCAGACATAAGGGGAAGCAGCCAGCTCACAGGCACAATGCTGCATGGCAGTGACAGAGCCCTAACCACATGCAGAAACAGCACTCCTGGACAACTGCACCACTTCTTAAGGCTGCATGAGAGAGGGTGCAAAACTCAGGAGGGCTTTGGAGAGCTCTTACTTGGAAAAAAGTTCAAGAAAGCCAGACTACAGAGGGCATTTGTGGGTGACTGGATTAGGCACTGTGGAGAGGAAGAAGCCTAGAAGGAAGACTGTGAGCACAAAAGCCTACAGGAGCATCATAAACACTAAGTCTTTGACCAGTATCTGAAAATCTCCTTTCCCAGTGTTCTCTCTCCAATCTCACTTCTGGCCTGCGATGCTGTGACAGGATTGCTGCTTCCAAGGACTAGTCCAAGCAAGTCCAGAGGAGGCCACAAAGTTGATAAGAGAACTGGAATGAAGCCTAAGAGGACAGGCTGAGGAAGTTGAGGCTGTTCAGCCTGGAAAAGAGAAGGTTGCGTGGAGACCTCATAGCAACTTTTCAGTATCTGAAGGGCCTACAAGGGAGTCAGAGAGGGACTCTGTGTTAGGAATTGCAGTGATAGGACAAGGGGTAA